AGGTTTTGGAGGAATAACTTTGTCCCGGCAGACCACGTGCTGGTTTGGGTACTCCATGTCCAAGCTGCTCTGACCTTCTTTTTGGTGAAAATGGGCAAAGTTGCCGTGTTCGGGCTCTGGCTGGTGGCAGTGGTCCAGACAGGCTGTCCAGGCTGGGAGGTGTGCTGGGTGACCTGGAGCTGAGCTCACCCATCTACACAGGTGATGCAGCGTTATCCAATCACACCTTTCAAAAATGACTGCTTCCTCAGGGATTTATTAGGGACTTCTTCATACTTAATTTCCCTTGCAAAGCCATGCTAGCTGGGCCCCTTGTTGGGGATACGCTTTTTACCAACAAAAAGATTAAGCCAAACGGAAGGTACCTTGAAGAGCCTTTTGCTATTGTCAGTCGTTGGCAGCTGGTGGGGCTGCAAGAGCAATGGTGGCTCTGCTGAGGTCCTGTTTCACACCTTGAAGTCACAAAATGCCAGCTCTGCTCATGCTGTACTGCAAACTTGAGCACACCAGGGCCTGGTGGGGGTCACCTCAGGCTAGTTGTGCTGCATTCATATAATTAATTGAGAACTGAATTTTTTTTTTATAGACTTAAATATACCAACACAGTACTTGAAGTGTGAAGATGGCATTAGTGATTCAGCCAGGCTTGATATCTGGAGTGATATCAGCATTGCTTTGCACCCCTGCCCTCTCCTTTCCTTACCTGGCTCTTTTCTTTCACCCCACCTTTCCTCTTTTAAATCAAAAAGCCACTTGCGTTAACAACTTCTTCTCTTTCCTCATACTGTTGCCTGACTCCCTGCCCCCCCTTTTGTTAAATCACCTGGAACACTCAAAGTCTTTGCAGCCTAAAATTCCCACATGGTCTTTTACTGAAGGACCCTAATCCTTCTGTGTCTCTTTCTGCCTCTGCTATTTGCGATTTCAGTTGTGTTGTCTAATTTTAACTCCCAATCAACATGACAGGAGTCATGGAAGCAAGGGTGGTGGTCTAACAGACTTGCTCTACACGATTGGAGAAAGTAACTTCAAGTTCCACAGCCACCACGGTGAAGTTGCCATCACTAAGTGCGTGTGTGAGAGAGAAACAATATGGATAGCTGTGCTTATGGACCAGATGTCTTGAAACTAATTTGCTTATGGCGTAGGGCAGAAATCCTACAGCACCGTAAGATGTCATGTATGAAATAGTCTGTTCCGAAAGTGCAGAAAACTGCTCTGGTTTGTTCAAAGGTGCTACTTCTAAACCTGTGAAATCTGCTTGAAAACCGGGATATTTTAATGTGTACTTTGAGCTCTCAGCTCTACTGAAGAGTAACGTTTCCTTGTTTCTTTTTTTTTTCTTGTAAAGCAGCCTCGATTTGTGGGGCTTGGTGTAGGGTAATGCTGTTTATAATGAAGTCAGAATTGGCTTTTAGAGCCTGATGAATGAAAGTCCACAGTATAAGACTGCAGCTTTTTGTGAGAGAGACATCTGTGCTATAACAAGAGCAGGAGACCCAATTTAGACAACTGCTAGAAGGAGAGCCCAAGAAAAGGAAAGACTTTTTTTCTAGCTTAGATTAAATATTTGTACAAATAAACTTTTCTTTTCAGCTGCTCATCAGAATTGCTGCTGCACCACCAACTTGGCTTTGAATTTTGTTCTGATTGCCCAACAAGGCTGTACACGAAGAGTGTTACGGAAGAGCAGCTTAAACAAAACATGTTTGTTTTGCAGCAGAACTAGAGGCTTTGGGCTAGAGAGAAAAAAATTTTGGGGAGAGGGAAAAGACAGTGCGAAGAGAAATATGAAAAAAATGAAGGATGTGAATAGAAACTGGCTGTTGCAGTAAAGAAGCAAGAAACACAGGCAGGAGTTGAGTTCTGTGTTTTGGAAGTGAGTTACGCTAGAGGATCTGGCTTCGAATACAGTTGCAATGACTTTGCCCAACTGGATCAGCTGGTTCGGTTAAAAGTGTTCTCACCCATGAAGCTTGCTCTTCACACACACGCATATACCCCAGCCACTGCTGAAACTTTTTCACTAGTGCATTTTAATACAGTCTGGTTAAAAGGTTACCCCTGTGATGTTGATCACACTTAAAACCTTCCTGCATGAGACTGTGATGAAAATACACGTGTCTACTGAGGACAGTGCTGCGGAGAGTAAGTGTCTTTGACGCAAGAGGATTGTTTCTCATTTTGGTTAAAGAAAGCTCCAACCCTTTAAGGAAACTTCTCATAAATCTGTTTGGTAAAGCAACTGTTTTAAGAACGTGGGAACCCAAATCACTTGGATTAAAGCCCAGGTGGACGCTGTCTCTGACTGAGACAGCTCAGAAGAGGATTAAGGAGCAGCATAAGCGGAGAACTCCTGGTGAAGAGGAGCGGGATGCTGAATGCGCTGTCCTGGGCTATTCCTCAGCATTAAGAGCGAAGGAGCCTTTTGGTTCTTAGGCTTATTGGAGCAGATGCAAGTCTAGTGTGTTGAGAGGTTTTTGATGGCTGATCAGAAACATGCTGGAAGTAGTAGCTTTTAGAAAGAACGTAGTATCTTTAAAAAGTTGTGTGGATTCAGCTTTAAAGCATTTCTTTTCTTGGTGAACCTGGTGACTAATACTTGAGTCTTCATGTAAAGGTACGCTTAGCCCAGTATATACATTTAATATGGAAATAGCTTACAAAATATTCATTAATTATCCAGCAAAGTCTTGTGGTACCTCTGGCATTCCAGCTTTGCTCTTTTCCTGTATGTTTAAGGATGCAAATGAGATTCTGTGATTTTTGAAGTGATGTGGCTTTGGGCCAGGGTGGGCATGAGCTGGTGGTCTGCACAGTTCAAATGTAATAAAAAAATTGTCTTAACTAACTAAAGAGGTTAGCTCACATTGTAGTATGGTCTGCTGTGTAATGCAGCACAGGTGTTGACATGCTGTCATTGCTTTATCAGACTTAGGAGCTCTTCAGTATCCTGTTTTGAGTAAACATCTCAAAATGGGTCTCTGAGCCAGGGACTTGCTTTGCTTTCCTTGTTTTAAAACCCTGACCCCACCTGAGATTCTGTTCACCCATTGATTTCAGTGGAGGCACAATTACCATTGAAGCTGTCTACAGTAAAGGCTCTCCTCTAATCTCATGCAGCGACTCTCCTGGCTTGCGTGGAAATATGGTGACAGACCTGCAAGACCCCACAACTCTCCCACTTGCCTGTGCCAACGTTTCAATTGTCTTAAAAGGATCTTCCACAGACTTTTAACTTATTTTAATCCCCTGGAGCATCTCTGCTTCAGTAATATTTAGCGAATTTCAGAGTAAACTTTTCCTTAGTTTCAAATTGTCAGATCTGAGGAGTGGCAGAAAAAGGTGGGGTTTTTTTAGGGGATTGAAAAGACAAACTCTCAGACAAGGCTAATTTCTGCTTGTAGGATGACAGGACAATTAGCAACTTGGTAACTGTTTTGTTTTCATAGACAAGAAAACTTCCCTGTCCTTCTTGTATAGGGTCCAGTAAATTCTGCAGATAGTCATTGCTCAGACTTGGTGTGCAGCGCCTTACCTTTTAAATACCTGGTTGGTATTGCAGAAATGGAAACGTCTGCATGCAATTTCAATTTTAATAGGTGGTAAAGATTGGAAATTCTACTGCTGTAGGTTGTCATTAAGTTTGGACATATAAACTGCAATTTATCTTAATGTCTTTTATATTGTAGTAAAAGTATACAGTACATTAATGAATTATAATTTTGAATCCTTAATCTCATGAGGGTGCAGACTCTGAATTTTACATTTTTAGGGACTGGGGTTTTGTGCACACTCAGTTGCTGGTTATAGCAAGTGGAAGTGTACTGCAACGAGAAGTTGCACAGATGCATTTTTATGCCGACTGCTTTCCTTCTGTCCTTGCTTCCTTGTTTCCTTCCTTTCACAAAAGTTTCCTCCCTTTCATTCTGACATTTTGCCTTAAAAGACTAATGGAAGAATGGCGCTTTGATCACAGAAGAGATTGCAAGTTTACTTTTTCACTTCTTGGTGTAAATTGTGACTTTTTCCAGCATCATTTTAATTCTTGAGACAAAACATTAGGATGCAACAAGCCACAATGAGGTACTTGTGTTCTGTGCTAGTTACTGCTTCAGTCACTGTTTTCTGGAACATTATTTCTCACCAGGAAGAAAATAAAGTATATACCATGTGATTTCTAGAAGTGATACAACTGTGGGTAACTTAATGATTTTACTGGAATGTTCTGACCCCCCGATTTTTCCAAAAAGTCTCATTGTTTCTTGCCCTTTCTTCATCCTCCATTTGACTAGAATAAAACAAATCATGCCAAATAAAACTACTTTATTCAGGTTTCTTTTGCCCCTTGTCATACGTTTTTACCTGTTCCTCTCCAGCTTTCTACCAAATAACAAATTAATTGTGACTTTCAAATAATTGTGAAGATACTGTTGCAAGTGTTTCCTCTGGAATGGGTCTTTGGGGAAAGCTGTCAAAGTAATTGCAGAACAGTTTTTGATGTGCTGGTTATTCTGATTAACTTCTCTATGTAGACAAGCCCCTACTAAGTAAGAGAATAACATTTTTTTATGTATGACCTGGGGGTGGGGGGGGGAGTGGCGAAGTTACATACATGTGCTTGGGATATGTGGAAAGATTTTTATTCCAGATTTGCTCTTCTCTAATTCTTCCTGCCTCTGCTTTAGCCCACTGAGAACAGGTGACTTGAAGGTTTATTTTCAAAGTTTGGGACTTACAGTGCAGTATGACTTCTTGGAGTTATTTTGCGTATTTTCACATTTGTGAGGTTTTAAACGGAGATTTTCTCATGTGAGAAAGAAAAACAGCAATGTGTGCTTGTTCTTCCCCAAATAGTTGACATTTCCTCCTTACTGGAATGGATGTCTTGAGTGCTGTATGTTCTGATAAAACTATTACAAATTTTAGTGTTTTTACAGACTTTTTTTTTTTTTTGTTAATCTGTTTTGAAATTGAAATCTGTCATTTCTTCTTGATAGGTGCTGGATAGTTTGTTAGCTCAGTATGGAACAGTGGAGAACTGTGAGCAAGGTATGGCTCTATTCTCAAATCACTTTTAAATTTGTAGTGGAAAGGGAGTGCACACTGAACTTAAACACTTTTCGTTGTATTTTCCTCTCTAGTGAACACTGACACAGAGACTGCAGTTGTAAATGTAACATATGGCAATAAGGACCAGGCTAGACAGTAAGTATCTTATTTACTTGTTACTGTTGTCTAACTTGCATTTTGGAATTCATGTTGTGATTGTATATGCAACTTTGCTTCCAATTAATTTATCAATAAAATGATCATGTAAGCATTAACTTTTAAGCAAGTCTCTTGGTCTTCCCCTTGCCAAGTCTTCTATGCTTTACCTTAATTTGCTATTTTTTGTCATCAACTTTTCCTGCACATTGGTTAAAAATAAATTAATAATTTTGAAAATTGAAAATTTGGGTAAAATTATTTGACTGGGGAGGGCAGAAAGTTAGTGATTTGGCAATGACAGAGGATGGGAGTTACTGCCTAATGATTTTTAGCAATGTTTTGAAAAAGCTTTGTGATGCCCTTTTACAGTGTTGGTTGTTCTGTGTCTGTCTTCTGGTTAGCCCCTGCATTCTTTTCCTATTTGTTTCTGTTGCTTTGCTATGATTTTCCCTTAATTTTTTTTTTTTTCCCAATTAGAAAATTTACTGCTGCTTCCAAACACACAACAGGTCATAATCTGAATACCTAAAATAATTTATTTGGACTTTTTGAACTTTAGGCTGTGTATTTTATGCTTGTTTGTATCTTAAGTAATTGATAACTTTTAATCTAGATATTAAAACTTAAAAATATAATGCTTTGCTTTACTTAATCAATGGTTGTATATCCTTTTCCTTTAAACATCTGTATTATATATATTATGCTATAGGTTTAATTTTGCTTTTCCACCACTGCTAGAAAAAGGACTTGTGTGTTCCTTAACATTTATCTGGTGACATAAACATATTTTTTCCCCTCTTTCTAGCCATAGCAGGTTAAACAAAACCAAACCCATGGAATAGCCTACAATGATCTTTTTATTTTAACTTTGAAATTTCTGCCACCTTGTGGCTAACTAAAACCAGCACTTAAGATGCAGAGAGTGCTTATGGTATGCATTAATTCAAAATTACAAATGAAATAATATTTGTACATATAATTAAGTAATTATGACTTCTGTGTAACTTGAATGCAACACATGTATTTAATCTTTCAAAGTGTTAGGTTACTTGTTAGTGTATTCTAAACAAATGTGATGGGAAACTTGTGTCAGTGGTGTCTCCTTTGTACACTGGAGCTGAAGGAAACAATGTTTTTCTTGAATTCACTACTCAACTTTTCTCAAAACCTGAATTGTTTGACAAGTTCTTTTTCAGGTTCTTCTGTTGTTTTTAATTCTGTTGTGCAGTAATTAAGAAAAATGTTGAATTTCTAGTTCTGAAGAAACTTACAGTGCAATGTTAAAAATTAACGCTACATGTGCCAGTTCCTTCTTTGAAAACGTAAGAAGGAAGTACCTAAAATACCACGGAAAGAAGCATGATGCGTCTTTTTGAGCTGTCTGTCATCTGTGATGTGGGTTCCTGGACTGGTGCGCTCCCTTCTGAAGTTGAAAACGACATACAGTTTCTCCCCCCTCAAACTGTACTTGTTAAATTTCAAGGTCAATCCTGAGGAAATGCTAAGATAAGCCAAGACTGTGAAGAAGTGTCTGAGATAAAATATTGTTTTGCATGAGAAATCACATGACAATAATTGAAAACGTCTTGAGTTTGAAGCAGGTGAATTAGTGTCCAGCATGAATGTTGGAGGAGGACCTGAAGCACAGGTTGAATGATGACATAGAGTTTGGTTGCCTTGAACAGGTAGAGCAAGTGGAGGAGCCTTGGTTTGCTTTTGTGAATGGTTTGATATGGACACAGGGTTTTTGAAGGGGATGAGTCCATTTTCTGTACAGAAAACGTTAGCTCAGATTGGCTGGGTTCAAGATGCAACCTTGCAGCCATTTAGAAACTCCTAAGAGAAGAGGTGGCTGGATAGAGGTTTTCCTAGGAAAAAACCAAGGAATTACAACGAAGAGTCACTACAGGATTGGTGTGTGTGTGGCTTTTCCGTAGTGACTGTGGTGGTGTTTCAGTTGAATGGTTTTCCCAGACATGACCGAGCTTTGCTTCTTGGAACTGGCTGTGGTGGACAGCAATGGCTGTGGAGGGGGAGTGGTATATGTGTGCCGATAGCTGATAAAAGGCAGTCTTGGTCAGCCTGTGCAGTACAAGGAGTGACAAGAACTGACTTTATTGAAAGCTGTTTAGAGTCATTGAGAATTAGCAGCTGATAGCAAACTTTGTATTTTGAAATTTAGCTGTTTAGGGTAAATGATGCTCTTAGCCATGACTTTTGGAGCAAACACTGTGACACGAAGTTTTCTATGACGCTGCATACAGTGGCTCCCCAGTCCTAACTGTGTCTTTTCTGCACTTTTTGCAACACACATACTAACCTCACAGTTAGTAGTGCTGGCTGACAAAACATGCAAAGCTTGTTCCCCACTTCCCCACTGGATAGACTATGGCATTGCTGGGCCTGTTGGAGTGTGTACTGGCAATGTTGTGTGGTGAAGGTGCTGTAACACAATCTGGAGATACTTTCGATAAGCAGTTCTAAACAAGTGTGGTATGCATTGCTTGGAGGATGTTACTTTTGAGTGAAACTTTTGGTTCCACCCAGCTGGGAAACCGAGCCTTCTTCTGTCTTACAAGTCTAATTGAAGTCTAATTGTTGTTGACAAATTTTTTTTTTTCTCTAGGCTGGTGCTGCAGTTGCGGCATATTCAGCACAGGGCTGCATCCAAAATTGACTTGGAAACTAAAATCAGTGAAGAATGCTGCAGTCCTTTTGAGAAATGAGTCTTGGACAGAGCACACGGCACCCAAAATCTGAGATGTGCACAGTTATTGATTTCTAGTTGGAATGGAGGTCTCTGGCTTTGCCCTATTGTAGCGATGCCTCTTCTTTTTTAGCTGGACGGGCATGAGGCTGTCTTGGCAGAAAAAGCAGGATGCTTCTCCTTGACTTTATTTGGCCAGAGCGGGGGAGCCAGCGTGGCAGATCAGGTACTCGTGGGAAGCCCAGCAGGTTTGTGGAGAGGTGTACAGCAAGCACAGAGCCATGCACAGGCCTGGGAAAGCCACCCTTTGCTCTCTGGGACTGTGGGTAGTGAGGAGAAGCCACCCTTTGCTCTCTGGGACTGCCAGGGCATCTCTGTGACCCCATCCCTCCCCTCCTCTCCTGCAAGCGCTTGGGAGGAGGAGGAGGAGGGAGTTTTCCAACTTGGAAACTGCTCCTGCAGCTGTCCTTCCCAGAAACTGGAGAGGGCCTTACAAAGCATGTGTGCACTGCTGTGGCACACGCAATTGCTGAACGTCGTGCTGGGTTATGGAATATTTGGAAGAGAGGAGTTCAGAGGGTGAGCAGCAGAGCCTGGAGCCCGTGGTTCAGTTTGAACAACCCAACCAGCTGCACATAAGTACCAAGGCAGCTTGGGACCTGCTTGCCAAAGGGCACCCCCTCTTCTCCCGATATTTATCCCTGACTGCAACCAGCAGGATGTGCTGACCATGTCCTTGTGATGTGCTGCCACCTAAATTATGGCTGTAATCTTCAAAAGTTACACCACCTCCTCTTTC